TCATCACCATCAACTAAAACCTGATATCTTACCAGTATTATTCCTGCCATCATCTTTATCACCTTTCCCGCCATCTTTGTTATCCAACGAATCAAGCAATTGTTTAAACTCTTCATTTTCCTTATGCAGCTCATCAATCTCGTGTTTATATTTATCCAGTGACTTATTCGAATCACTTCTTGGTCGTTTACCCACATTGTACTCAACCGAGATGTTCTTCTGGAAATTTCCATTCATCATAAGGTCTTGGAGCTGACGTCGGAGTTGATCGTTCTCGTTTTGGAGCACTCTCGTGTCTTGTTCGTACTTCGTGATCACTCGCGCGATATCGTTCAGTTTGTCTTCCAGATCTTCCTTGGCATTTCTCAAATCGCGAAGTTTCTTTTCCGCGTTCTCGCGTTCTGCTTTCTCTTTCTTGTAGCGACCTGAATGAAGAAAAAGAACAGTTGGATTTAGATGGGCCTTCATGAAAGCGTCAAAGGTTTCAATCTTTTTTAACCAAAAACCAAACACGGTAGCTTACATTCGAACATTAACCGTTTTTCGTATTATAATGTTGACCGTTTATCGAGAAGTGGTATTCTACGATAAGCTGTCAAAGTGTTTTTAATCTTTTTGAAGTAGATCAGTCACAAACCAGGGGAATTTATTATAAAATACTACCTACACTGGACCACCACGTTTGAGATATCTTTTTCAGGTAGTCCAGACACAAATCACGGCAGCTTATTGTAGAATACTACTTACACTGGACCACCACGTTTGAGATATCTTTTTCAGGTAGTTCAGACACAAACCACGGAAATATGTTGTGTTATGAATATATGCTGAAAAGCGGTCAGTGAATCAAATACACAATCAAAAAATCTTTGGATAATTGAGCCAGTCAAGGAATCCTTCACATATAATCAATGTATTCTTGAATCAGTCAATAACACAAACCTTCAAAGTAGTCTTTCTCATCGACAATTCTTCTAAAATCGATGTGTGAGTACGAAGCGCTCTCTTGTTTCGTGATGTTGATGGAGGTATAGTCCACATCCGTGACGCTCAGGCGGAAATCTTTATTTTCTTTTTCCAGTTTTTGAACGTCGTCTTCGTATTTGGCAAGAAGATCGACCAACGCATTGTACCTAAGAAAAAATATAATTGAACATCATAGGATAGGGGAAGGTTATGTTTACACGTAACAAATTGTTAACAAGTTCATGACAACATCTTCGTAGCAACTTGTTACGAACAGCCTGTATTAGTCTTGTTGGAACAACTTGTAAGCAAGTCTGTCACCGTCGTCAACCTTGTAACAAGGTGATAACAACTTATTTCAGACTTGTCACAACAACTGGGAACAAGCAGTGCGAACACATCCTGATAACAGTTTGACAACAACCTTGCTACAACATGTTTGCAAATCTGTAACAACCTATGTTCAAAATGAATTCATTTCTTTACCTCTGTTCAATGGAGTCTCTCTGATGCTTCATCTCGTTATATTTCTCAATGCTTATTCCCAATTCGTTCATTGTGTCCACATAACAAGGAGCGGTCGCGTAGGGTATTATGGCGGGTTGGGGGACTGGTACGGGCTGCTGGATAGGTTGAACTGGCCGAGTGGGCTGGGTACGAAGTTCTGAGATCTGTTGTTGTAACACTCGGACTTTCTGTTCGTAGCTTTCCGTGATTTCCCGACATTTTCGAATGTACGTGTCTCTTTCCACGTCTACACGTCTGTACTTTTCTTGTATATCTGTGACCTGTGGGGAAAATGATGAAGACTTGCTGTAGGATTATTTAATTACACCTCTATAACGCTGTTTACAAGATTGGACACTCAGAATTACTTTAAGAACTAATCTTTTTGGTTATCCAACACCCAAATTAGTGATAAATATTTTGTAAAGCGAAATGGGGCACTCATTGTATACATATATATACAGACATACGGACTGTATTTAAACACGCTAGCCTCAACAACTATCAGCTCATTTCCATAAAGGGCGTGTACATGAATGCAAATTTACAATACACTATTACAAAACATAACACGAACATTACAAGGGTACTCTCTACATGACACAATAAGAAGACAAACGATGAAAATAAATGAATCGTTGGAAATGGATGTGGAAAAGAGTATTCATATAGCAAACTTAACAGGCCACATTATTTACATCAAGTGCAGGGAACCAGATTAGTTTTAAGTTAGCAAAACGTCAATCAGAATGACAAAACGTTGCGGTTTCTTATAAACTTGCATCGTTCAAACTCACCTCGCTCTTGATGCGATGGAACTTATCCTCGAATTCCGCCTTTTCGCGTTTCTCGTACTTATATTTCTCTTCATAGCTATCACACTCTGCAGTCAAACGTCGAATCTTCTCCTCAAAACTAACCACTATCGAATCAACATCCATCACATTCTTAGAGTCGGTGTGTTCACGTCGGAGCTTCGCGAGTTCTTCCTCGAGACGTTCGACCTCGGTCTTTTCTCGTGAGTATTTCGAGGTCAAGTCGTCCACATCTTCGCGAAGGCCTTTAGAAAGTTTCTGGAACTTTGTTTTCTCGGCTGTGATTTGGTAAATGTCTGTGTTAAGTTTGTAAACTTTGTCTTTCTCCAATCGCCATTTGTTTTCCAAGTCTTCGATGGAAATGTGAAGGTCTTTTATTTTGCGTTGAAGTTCCTTGACGAGTTTGTTCTGTTTTTCGTCGTCCTTTGATTCTTCGCCTAACATGGCACGGAGTTCTTCGCATTCGTTCTTTTCTTTCTTCAGTCTGCTGTTCAAATTCTGCAAAAGAAAAATAAATCATTAAGCCTGGGCGAACAAGGAAATACTGCTGTTTGGCCGTGTTTCCCAAAGGTAGAAAAAACAGAAAACATTGTATCGTGGCCATGTATTCATAATTTCAACCGTAGTTAATCAAATATTTTTTAGAGATTTGAAGAATGAAAAATATTTGATTAGGAGCAGTAAGCGGAAGAATAACCAAGCAATCTCGTCAACTTAACATTCCTCTTTTCACTAGTGCAACAGGACAAAAAAAATCCAATATCGTATAACTAAACTCTGGAACGAGCTGCCATCTAATCTTAAATCAAGTAGAACAATTAGTAGTTTTAAAACCGAACTGAAAACGATTTTACTAAGGAAATTTTTAAATATGTGACAGTCTAGTTTTAGTACATAATAATATAATATACTATTTTATATAGGTTTCTGTTTAGGTTATTATCATTGTAATGTAACTAAATTTGTAATTATATAATTGATTCTGAAAAGCCCCTTGTTTGGGGATGATCAATAAATCTCATCATCATCATCAAAACAGACTTCAAATCTATAAGAGGTGGAGCCTCTGAAATCAAGTTCTGAAAAAGCTTACGATCAAGTCCCATTTTCAAATCACACTTTTCAATTTTCATTATACGACATTTTGTATATGGCTGTATAGAAATCTACAACCATCCATACCTCAATTTCAATAACATAATCTCTGGTTTGTTTTTCCAGACTTGTCACAGTATTTTCAATAACGGTGATCTTCTCGCAATGTTCAACGACTTTATCTTTCTCTCTGTTATATTTCGTAACCCATTCTCTTTCAGTGTTGTCAGCTTGGGAAAGCTTGTCCTGAAGCTGTTTGATCAAACCTCGGTCAGAATACGTCTGTTGTTGAACACGTTGGAGCTCCATCTTCAATCTGCGGTTCAGTTCATCAAATTGGTCTCTTTCGGTCTTTGCCTGGTGAAAAAAGGTATTTAAGTCAACCAGAACGTTGAAAAATTTATTTTTAAAGGAGTTTATAAGGGAATATTTGTAATATCTTTCATTTCAATCGGCAATGAATTGAACCGCACTCCACTATAAAATAATTTGGCCTTTGCCATTTCAAAGTTAACTGTGGAGATAATTTATTGGTTTCATAACAGAAGGTAAACAATTTCCAATTACAAAGACTCTTTGCTTTCTTAATTAACCTTCCAATTTATTAATTGCTAATTAAGATCTTAATTACCTTTCTAAATTTATCTTCTAATTCATCCATCTCATTTTCCTGCCTCTTGCCAGACTTCTCATTATTATCAATCTCAGCTTGGAGTAGACTGAGCTTCAACTGAACTTCATTTAACTTGGACCGTTCTTCTTTCAGTTTTCTTTCATAATTATCTTCTTCTCTCTGAGCGTCAGAACGAATGTCATCCTTCTCTTCTTCGCAACGTACTTCGATATCTTTCATTTGTTTTATATAGCGTGTCTCCACCTGTCAAACGTTGGCAAATATGATCCTTTAGGAACCGGTCATTATTTATGGTGGGAGGTAGCACCGAAGAGAAATGTTTTTCTTTGAAAAAATATTACTGATCCAACCATTAAAAAGTCCAATTTTTTTAACCCAACCTCAAATATCAATTAAAAAATAAATACCCACCCCAGGCCAAAAACGTTACAAACAATACCATTCAGTTGTCACACATGTCCTTTACCACTTCTGTGACATGAGTTTGATAACTGCTTGTGCTATTTTCTGCAGTCCAAAGTTTCATGTTGTCTGCACATGTACTTTCTTTGGAGACACCATTTGCCTCCTGACAAATTGCAAAATGATCAAGATAGTGACTCCGATTGAGTTTCGATTTTTAATCTTCAATACTTGAGTGAGACATGCTTTGGAAATGACAATGAATTTTTATTACCCAACCCTAGAGTTGTTTTGTTTTAAATTAGCCCAAACTTTTACTCACTCAAAATTCGTTTACCCAACCATTTTCTGTTCGGTACCACCCCCCCCCCTCACTAAAATGGCTTAAATGGATAAGTCCTGAACAAACGAGAATAATGTCCCCACAGCAAATATCATGTTTGTAAAACAAAATATAGATAATTGAGAAATCTTGCCGAGAATAAATAATAAACATAGAATATATGTACCTCTGATTTTGAGCATCTCGCTTGATAGTACTAAATGTAGTTGGATTTTGCATTTGAAAATTTCAAGCAAAAATATGTACGGGGTGTATAAAATAAGGTAATCGAACTTCAGCACGCTATTGTACGTGAAGTACTCGGCGTACGAACAACTGTTTTTCATATTCGGAAAGATCAGGCTTTTAGCTATTGAATGACAAGATGTTTTCCATGCCAAGTGGAGAAAAAGTAAGCAAGTACGAGCCCGATAAAACATGTTAGTCAGAAACGCATATTTTCAACAGTATGCCTACCTCTGTGCGCTCGATTTCGAAGTCGTGTTTCAAAGTGGTTATTTGCGTTTCTAATTCTTGAATTTCATTGGATTTTGAAACACAAATAGCACAGTCCCCAGGGACCATACCAATGGTGTCCATACTATAACCAGGATCTGGTGAGACTGGGTAACCACACACCGAGGGGTCTGACGGTGGCACGGGGCTTACAGCTGTAGGCCCGGGGGAGACGGGGTAAACACACACAGAGGGATCTGGTGGGGGAGCGGGACTAATTGTACCAATGACTTGCATTGTACTACCATCAGGGTAATCCACCATGGGTACTGTACCCACAACATCCATAGTAACTCCAGTGTCTAGCGGCTGGTCCATTGTGCCTATCACTTGCATGGTCGTGTCTAGCGGCTGGTTCATTGTGCCTATCACTTGCATTCCAGGGTCGGCGATATTCTGCGGAGATTCAACCATAATTGTTGGTATCGTTTGGATCGTCGTTGAGTCGATGTTTGTCGAAGTCATACCACACTCGCTGATTTGCGCTACCATACCAACATCACTGACCATACATTCACTCACCATACCATCCTGTACCACCCCTTGTGTCACCATACCAACCTCCCTCTGGCTTACCATACCAACTTGGCTAACCATGCTCGAATCACTAACCATAGACTGACTAATCATACTAGTTTGATCTACCATACCTTGACTAACCATACCAATCTGAGTCTGGCTAACCATACTGGAATCACTAACCATACTTTGACTAACCATACTAGCCTCACCTTGAAATACCATGTTAGTCTGATCTACCATGCCTTGGTTCACCATACCAACTTCATTCTGGCTTACCATACCAAATTGACTCTGGCCCACCATATTGGCATCACTAACCATCGTCTGACTAACCATACTAGCTTCACTCTGGGCTACCATGGTCTGATCTACCATGCCTTGGCTCATCATACCAACTTGATTCTGGCTTACCATACCAAATTGACTCTGGCTCACCATATTGGCTTCACTGACCATCGTCTGACTAACCATACTAGCTTCACTCTGGGCTACCATCGTCTGATCTACCATGCCTTGGTTAACCATACCAACTTGACCCTGGCTAATTCCCTGATTCATCATACCCATACCACCCTGACTAACCATACCAACACCGCTCTGGGAAACCATACCCATATCACTTTGGCTTACCATGCTTGCACCACTCTGGTTAACCATGCTCATACCACTTTGGTTAACCATACCTCCATTACCCTGGTTCATCATACCAACACTACCCTGGCTTACCATACCCATATCACTCTGGCTTACCATACTCGCACCACCCTGGCTAACCATGTTCATACCACTTTGGTTAACCACACCTCCATTACCCTGGTTCATCATACCAACACTACCCTGGCTTACCATACCCATATCACTCTGGCTTACCATACTCGCACCACCCTGGCTCACCATGTTCATACCACTTTGGTTAACCATACCTACATTACCCTGGCTTATCATACCAACACTACCCTGGCTTACAATACTACCCTGACCAACCATACTAACCTGTGAAACATCTGGTACCATACCACCAGGAACCATTCCAGTTGGGGACATTTGAACACCAGTTGGGCTTGCAGCCAACTGACCACCAGGCATTTGTTGCGTGGGACTGACTGCCAACATCCCACCTCCCATGGGACTGGTTGGACTACCGCCCATCATCTGTGGGCTCATCATTTGCGGGCTCATCATTTGAGCCCCACCAGAAAATTGCCCTGTTGGGCTCTGGCCTAACATCTGACCACCAGCTCCTGGTGACATCTGACCACCTACCATCATCTGACCACCAGCCCCTGGTGACATCTGACCACCTACCATCATCTGACCACCAGCTCCCGGTGACATCTGACCACCTACCATCATCTGACCACCTACACTACCACCTGGTGACAACTGGCCACCAAAACCTGGACTACCACCTCCACTCATCTGACCAGGAGATAATTGCTGCATGGGCATTTGCTATAAAGAAAAACAAGCAGACATTACTATACTACTCATAACATTACTACACACATCTACATCTTATTACTCAATCTACTTCCTTCGAAATTTGAGTATCACGTTGAAATATGGCTTCAACAGTAAGCAGTAAATTATATAACGCGACGTTGTTAATCGCAAACTCTGAGAATAAAGTAGGTCGTTTGCAACTTGCCTCAATCGCTGGCTGCAAAACAATGTCTATCAAAGTATTTAGTGTAATGTTGGTCTGATTTCAGTTACTGCTTATTCTGCATTTTCAATATTTGTACAGAGGTTAGTTTTTACAACATTTGTATATTTAACACTGGAAAAAATATTGAAAATCCATAGAAGGTCATAGAATGGAAATTGTATGTATCTTTATTGGAAATAGAATGGATTTTGACTTTCCATAATAATTGTATATTTTCATACTATGGACATAGTATCGAAATAGTATGGATATACTATTTCGATACACCAAATTTGTTAACAACTTGTTACAAGCAGACGATATCAGACTTGTTGAGACTAGTGAAATCTTAGGAGCATATAGCATAAAGGAATTTTGCATACATAGCATTAACTACTTGGCACATATTTAAATATTTTGCGTTGAAATTTCCGCAAGCCATAACAACGTTGAAATAAACAGAACAAAACAATGTGCTTAAAAACTGTTGCTATGGTGTATATGTCACATGTTTTATTTATGTAAACAGTTCTCAGTAACTAAGGATTCTAGGTTAGAATCTTAAAAGACTTAAAATAGTATTACACAAAAACGAAAATTTTATAGCAAATTTTCAGGGGCATGTTGTACAAAAAGACAGTTAAATTAACTACAGTTAGTGCGAAATCAATCAAAATCGCGTATTTTAGAATTAACCACTACTTCAACCACAAAATAGTAGCTAAAAAATAGTTAAGAGTTCTATACAACCGACACCACCAAGCTAAATGTCAATTATTTTGTTCCCCACAAAATTATGGTACTGTATCAAAAAACCGCCTACGCGCCTCCAACGCTTAAAGTTAGTTTATTCAAAGGCGAAAAATAAATAATGTACAGGTATATATACACACCGCCTACGCACTAGAAAGAACGCCACAGTAAACTGTGCAAATATTGGTACTAGCTGGTTTTATAAACTTGGCCAATAAATTTTCTACGTTTGCGTAAAGTCTAATTAAAGAGTGCCCGTTTTCGATTTCCGCAAACAGTTGAGAGTCAGAAAATACAACTTTTTATATATGAGCATGCATGTGTATAAGTTTTTATAACGTATCTTGATGATTTACAAGTAAAACTGTCTATTGTGTACATTGTTGCAAGCCAAATATTTTAGCTGCTATAAGCATTTTGTACAAATCAAGCGAGTGTCCTCCTTGAATCTTCAATGTTTGCCTGTTCCCATGGAAACAATTCTATTAAAACTTCCATTACTTTCATTTTGACTATAATTTCAGCACCGTCCACTTGTAAAATGAACGATTTTCGGAAATATCGTTACTTAAATTGAGTTTAAAAATCAACAGTTGACTCATTTACCTCATTTTTAAATGTCTGACCTTTTGTAGAATATTAAAAGATATTGCTCAAATATGAACAGATTTTAAAAAGTTTTCTTTGGTCTTTCGTTTTAATCTTACTTTATTACAAGCAGCCTGATGTAAAGCTTAAACATTTGGGGTAAAACACAGGTGTAAGCATGATGCACGGCTTCAACATTAGCTATAAACATACACATATATATAACAATTTTATACTAGTAAATCTGACTACATTTTCTCATATTAATTGACTGCATTTTAATCTCTGTTAATAAGTCTATCAAGTATATTTCATTGCTATCAAAATCAATTCTTTATATATCCTATCTCAAATAGATACCTTGACTATGGAAATGAAACAGTATGTAATATATAAGCAAGCTTAGGATTGATAAGGATTTCTCCTTTGAAATTCTGAAAGTCTATCTCAAATACAATTTGCGTAATGCAATTGAAGAATAAAGTAGCGATATGCTATGTGAATTATAGAAATGATTCCAGCAAAATTCCTTGGCTATGTTAATATTTTACAACGAAGTGTATAAATGCACAGACTTACCCCTTGCATTTGTGTTGGACTTCCAGCCATCATTTGGCCTTGCATTCCTTGATTTAACTGTAGTTGCTGTAACTGCGATGGATCAGCCATATTTTCAGCTTCTCCGAATTCCGAGTCGAATTCAGCGAGTAATTCCTCCGGAGGAACCGACAAGGGCCGTTTGGTCCCTAGCAAGCGCTGAACCTTTGAGTACACGGCGTCGCTTGGGGGAACAAAACTGAAGGCACACGAATAAAGATGACGGAATTCCACAAGGACTCAGAAGCGGACCAGCCGACTAGACACAATACATTGAAGACGCGAAGCTTCGCTCGACATAAACATCACAAAGACGCCAAGCTCATCTGAGCAAAGGTAGCGATGGACGCCCAGTGTTGCAGAGGGCTCCCCAAATTTCATTGGTTCAAATGGAGCGTATTTTGAAAACATGGAAAAAGGTCATGGCGGCGAAGTTTGTTTTTCAGCGCCCAGCAACAGCAATTTGTTTACGCCGGAGAGCATCAATGAATCACACCACAACAGGTCCCAACCAAAACAAATTTTGCCACAGAATTCCTGTGTTACACCGCAACATTTGCGATTCTGCATGCATTGTTGAAATCCGTCATAAACGATCATTGTTCCGACCAGGGTTACCGTAATCTATATAGAAAACGAAAAATTACATGTTAACAAATTTAGGAAATTTAAAAAATTGTTTTCACTGGAGTAGTATATGTTAACGTTTATTGCAAATTCTTGATTGTGGGGAAACCTGTTGCATTGATTTCAAAAACAATAATATGCATTTTATGAAAGGCTTCCCAAAATTAAACATGAAGAAGCTTTAGACCTTATAGAAGCACCGCAAAATCAATTTCCTTATTGTGTTGTGCACTTTATACAGGTTTAACTTTCAAAATCAACGTTCGAAATAAACTGATTTTAACAACTTCATTACGTATTCATTAGAGCGTTTATAGATAGTTTTTGCTGCGTGCTTGGAAGAACACTTTCGTTTATAAAGCCATTCCAATTTCTAACGACTCGTTAAAAGTTGGATAGTGACAACGTAAAACAATACAAAATATCATAAACAGACAAGTAGAAAAATTTCAAACCGAAAAATTTATATTCTTTTTTGAATATAAAGCGTCGTTTTGTTGTACATCGCATCTCATTACATCCAGACACCTGTTGCTATGCGCGGAAAAACACGACAGTTTGCCAACGATTTTCTGCCTGTCGGCGAAAATTTTTGACTGTCGCTAACCTTTTTATAGTAACAGACAGTAGTTCGACAATTCAGGCAAAACTCCTATATGCTATTGTATAGTATAGGACTCGATGTAAATTCCTTCGCGTGTATACAGACTAGAGTAATTAAATTACCCGTACACCAACAGGTGGTTAATTAGTTTGCTCAAGCCAGATACTGTAGTGATTTTTGTTTGCTTTCCTGCCTTAGCTCCGTTAACAGTTATCCCACATTTGATCGATCCAGTTGTCGTTACATGAGGAGGAAACCTAAACTACTGGATAGCTCTATCAGTTCTAAATTGTTCTCCATAGAGGTCCAATAAGGATCATCTCTTACTACAGGAAGAAACCTAAACTAAACTAACTTCATTTATACTGGATAGCTCTATCACTTCTAAAACTGTTCTCCCTAGATGTCCAGTAAGGATCATCTCTTATTGACCCAGTGAACTAAACTAACTCTATTTATACTGGATAGCTCTATCAGTTCTAAACTGTTCTCCCTAAAGGTACAGTAAGGATCATCTTATTGATCCAGTGTTACTATACAGGAAGAAACCTAAACTAAACTAACTTTATTTATACTGGATATAGCTCTATCAGTTCTAAACTGTTCTTCCTAGAAGTCCAGCAATGATCATCTCTTATTGACCCAGTGAACTAAACTATCTTCATTTATACTGGATAGCTCTATCAGTTCTAAACTGTTCTCCCTAAAGGTACAGTAAGGATCATCTTATTGATCCAGTGTTACTATACAGGAAGAAACCTAAACTAAACTAACTTTATTTATACTGGATATAGCTCTATCAGTTCTAAACTGTTCTTCCTAGAAGTCCAGCAATGATCATCTCTTATTGACCCAGTGAACTAAACTATCTTCATTTATACTGGATAGCTCTATCAGTTCTAAACTGTTCTCCCTAAAGGTACAGTAAGGATCATCTTATTGATCCAGTGTTACTATACAGGAAGAAACCTAAACTAAACTAACTTTATTTATACTGGATATAGCTCTATCAGTTCTAAACTGTTCTTCCTAGAAGTCCAGCAATGATCATCTCTTATTGACCCAGTGAACTAAACTATCTTCATTTATACTGGATAGCTCTATCAGTTCTAAACTGTTCTCCCTAAAGGTACAGTAAGGATCATCTTATTGATCCAGTGTTACTATACAGGAAGAAACCTAAACTAAACTAACTTCATTTATACTGGATATAGCTCTATCAGTTCTAAAACTGTTCTCCCTAGAAGTCCAGCAATGATCATCTCTTATTGACCCAGTGAACTAAACTATCTTCATTTATACTGGATAGCTCTATCAGTTCTAAACTGTTCTTCCTAGAGGTCCAGTAAGGATCATCTCTTATTGATCCAGTGTTACTATACTGGAGGAAACCTAAACTAAACTAACTTCATTTATACTGGATATAGCTCTATCAGTTCTAAAACTGTTCTCCCTAGAAGTCCAGTAAGGATCATCTCTTATTGACCCAGTGAACTAAACTATCTTCATTTATACTGGATAGCTCTATCAGTTCTAAACTGTTCTTCCTAGAGGTCCAGTAAGGATCATCTCTTATTGATCCAGTGTTACTATACTGGAGGAAACCTAAACTAAACTAACTTCATTTATACTGGATATAGCTCTATCAGTTCTAAAACTGTTCTCCCTAGAAGTCCAGTAAGGATCATCTCTTATTGACCCAGTGAACTAAACTATCTTCATTTATACTGGATAGCTCTATCAGTTCTAAACTGTTCTTCCTAGAGGTCCAGTAAGGATCATCTCTTATTGATCCAGTGTTACTATACTGGAGGAAACCTAAACTAAACTAACTTCATTTATACTGGATATAGCTCTATCAGTTCTAAAACTGTTCTCCCTAGAAGTCCAGTAAGGATCATCTCTTATTGACCCAGTGAACTAAACTATCTTCATTTATACTGGATAGCTCTATCAGTTCTAAACTGTTCTTCCTAGAGGTCCAGTAAGGATCATCTCTTATTGATCCAGTGTTACTATACTGGAGGAAACCTAAACTAAACTAACTTCATTTATACTGGATATAGCTCTATCAGTTCTAAAACTGTTCTCCCTAGAAGTCCAGTAAGGATCATCTCTTATTGACCCAGTGAACTAAACTATCTTCATTTATACTGGATA